GCGTGAGCGGCCAGCAGCCGCCGTGAGTGGCCGTCCAGAAGCTGGTGACTGATCTGCCTCTCCCGGGAAGAGCACAATGATGGTACCAACTTGGGCCAGTGAAGCAACGTCCTCCACAACTAGACTGAAGAACAAAACGACAACAACTTGTCTGTTCCCCTTCCCCCAATTCCCCAATAAAAATCTTAAAAAAAAAAAAAAATTGTGGCGAGTTTTCTCTTCACGTTTCTAGAAAGTATTAAATGGGAAACCCACCTCTGAATTCATCAGAGACGCAAAATTTGCAGCTGATTACTTGGCAAAGACGTAAAGCTCTTCCCTGGCTTGCCAGAAAACGCTTTAATGGAGAAGCCCAAGTTCTTTGCCATACCTCAGGGGAAACATCAGACTTTCTACGCTACATACACTATGCTCAGGCCCTGGGAAGTAAGGGAGGTGCACATGAGTCACCTGGGAAATTCAGCAGTGGTACCTGCCAGGTGTTCTTTAGGGAAAGGCTTCAGTAAGAGTGCGGATGAGAAACACTTTCTACTGAAGAACAGAACAGAGTGGGTTTTAGTACCAATCATAGCACGGAGGATCAAAACCCAAGAAAAAGAAAGTGCAAGGACAGAAGAAAAAGGGGAGCTTACTTAACTCCACACTATAGGAACGTATGTCCTATATGTGGTCTTAAAACACTCATCTGCCTCATAAAATAAGCACTGTGTGCAAAAGCAGATGAAGAAACGCAGGTGGGGCGACACGTAGATCCTGCTAGACAAGAAACAGCTGCAGATAAACATCAAATCACAATGGCCATAATATACTTGGCTTCATTCTAAAACCACAACTGGTCTCCATTTCAAATTCTTGATTCATGTGTAGAAATTGGGCAAATCAGCAAAACATAATGTCTAAAAACAGCTTTGATCTTGTCAATCTCTGCTCAAAATTGTCCAGGGCTTACCCTCCCCCAGCCCTCACCCCCCGCCCAACACCTACAGGTAAAACACTGAGAACATTCCAGAAGCTCCTCCACACTCAGTGCAGCCCTGAGCTGTCACTCACTCCCACCTCACAGACCCAGTGTTTCAGGTGGGCCGGACTTCATGTCATTCCAAACCCCACACTCAGTTTCCTGCCTTGGACCTTCTGTCTAGTCTTTCCCTCCTATCTGAGCTCGTCTATTAACATCTAAGCCCCTCTTTAAAGGGAGGCCAGGGGACACGCCTGTGTCCCATGACGTCTTCCTTGACATTCCCACGAGCAAACACGAGGACTCGGCCTCTCTTAATGGCAGCACATTATGCTCAACTAAGAACAGCTCCCTCTTCCCACTACAGACGGTTAGACTTGATGATGTTGTGACTTGAAGATGGTGTGAAAGCGATACCCATAATAAATTCCATGAGAAATTCAACACTTGATTTACATAAAATGGGCTTTGAATTAGATGATTTGCCCAGTTGTAGGCTAATTTAAGTGCTCTAAGCATGTTTCATGTAGACTAGGCTAAGCTATGATGTTCAGTAAGATGTATTAATAAATGCATTTTCAACTTATGGTATTTTCAACTTAACGATGGGTTTGTAGGGAAGTAACCCCATTATAAGTTAAGGGGCATCTGTACATGGCAAACTCCTTTAAAGTTAAGGATGGTATCCAAGTTCATCTCCCTATCCATCATGATGATAAACAAAAGGCCACATGTAGTAAGTGCTCAATAAATATATAGTAAATTAAACTGAAAATCTGCTGCCCATTTTCAAGATTTACCCATAAAATGTGATGGCAGAGTGATAGACTACTCATCATTTTTAGTAACCAGAAAAATACACTGAATGCTGAAGATGAAGATCAGTGAGAGCACCCCTCACCATGGATCCCCAGCCAAGTGTTAAATGGGGCTGCGTGTACCTCGAGGACATCTCGCTCAGCTGTCTCCCAATTCACACCCTAAAACGAACTGCAAAGCCCTGAAAACACTAGCTTAGACCTGGCTGAACTGGCCCTGCCCTAGGATACATCTTATGCTTGTGCTGGGTCTTTCTTCAGGACTTAAACTCTGTAGAACTCTCATCCACATATGTCTGCAACCTCCACAAGAAACAAGTGGAGGCAGGCAGTCTCTTCATTTCGCAGACCAAGAAAAGGTTAAATAATTTATTTAGCACCAACACTGGGATCATAAGTTTTAGATTCACAAATGAACCAAGGTAGCTAAAGTTCTGAGAGGCTATTTTGTTTAAAAGATATGCCTTTTCCCTCTTCCCTGCAATAACAAGGTAACCATTAAACTATCTACCTCACCTCCAATACAGGCTTCTATACAATAAAGACAGAATAAGAGAAAGTTATATTTCATTAGCTTTGGTTTAAAAAGGTAAGGAGAAAATTACTTTTGGCTGTCCTTTGAATAGAAAAAAGTCCTTAAGAAACAAAGACACTGAATCACTGTGAACTAATAAATCCTTCCTGTGATACATGTTCAGGATCACACTGGTTATTACTTTAATTTGAAACTATTTGATACAATGAAAGGAGATTTTTATAGATATCAAGGACTCAAATGACTTCTAGCCCTTTAAGCCCTAGTGTTTCACTGAATCCACAATCCATCAATTCATAATATTCTTTTAAGAGGTTTTCTTATGCCCTTACTTTTCAGGTTTTAAATATATTCTAAATCAAGTCTCTGAACTGGCTTAGCACCCTATGACTCAGGAACCCCTACAGACCGATAGGTTAAAACACTGATTGCTTCTAAGAACAGAAAATTCATTATCCCATTCGCAGCCAAAATATACAGATAACGTAAAAGTTCATGTTGGTAAAAATTTGAAACAGTGTCAGAAACAGAAACAGCTTTAAGTGAAAAATTTTGTTTGAGGAACACTCATGAATTTTTATAAATGCATTCAATTCAATTAAAGATATATTTACCAAAAGTCCAATATAAGGCTCTTTTAAAAACACTGCAGGGGATATAAATAAGAATAAGACAAGACTCTACACTCAAGGACGTTACAATAAATTAAACATTGCAGAAAACAAATTAGCCAAGTGTTATTACTCATATGGTGTGGTAATCTTTAAATGATCAATATGCCATGTGAAGGAATGATTTTCTTATAGTAACTAAAGTAAAATATTTCCAAATAACTCTTACTTAGAGACAGTCATTCTTAATTATGACCATTTCCAATACTTCTACACTATCCTTAAGTCTTAATGAAAATGAAATCAATTCTCCTAACTTTAAGATAGGAAGTCAAAAATAAAAATAGCCAAATGCTTCACATAGTATGAAGTTATGAAATTTTACATTTTTAATATTTAGTACCATCTAACAGTATTTTAAAAATTAATATTTTATAAATGTGATAAATATAATCAAAATCTGCCAAATAATTTTTGCAATTAAGAGCAATGACACAAGTACCTATTACCTGCCATTAGCATGTATGGTCTGCTAACAGTAAACACATGAAATCGGTATGTATATTAAAAATGGGACATATTTACTTTTAAATTAAGCCATATGCCAAATCACCAGACATGATTTATACCTTAGTCTCACGACCCATCATATACTCAAAAAGCACTTTTCGCAAATACTCAAACTCAGTAGGTTCTCCAAAGAGCGAGACATCAGTATGGTACAAACTGCCACCTGTCAAATGAAAAACAGATCAAATTGTAAAGATAAGAGCAGATAAACTACTTATTACTTAGAAAATGGACAAACTAACAAATAATCGAACAAAGAGACACATCATTTTTATATTAATTAGATTGTATTGCATAGTACTGTATTGTATATATACTAAGCATTCCAACTGGTATTTTTCCCTTTATTTCTCACATCGTTTCCTCCTCCTCTTCTACCTCTTCCTCCTTCTGGCATGACAATTTTAAAAGACTATACTTAGGGAATACAAAGATTCCTTAAAACTGGTATTTCCTTCTTAAACATTATGTGGTTATCTTCAGATACTCCACAATGACTAAAGTTAACAATTATTTTCATTTTATTAAGAGCTTAGCATCTCAGAATAGTATTCTAGTTTTTCTAATATTCCAAACCTAAAAGCACTCAAGTTTTCAAAACTGTTTTGAAACACAGAATAGCTTGAAAATGCATGAACTATTTATTAATGCCATTACAGTGGTTTTCAAATATTTCGATTCAACATTTTAAAAAGACTGTCAAAAAAGTTATAGTGTATCTGTTCATCAAGCTCCATTTCAATGTAAAAGTAAAGAATACAGTTCATATATATGAAGTCACACTATGACACACTATAATCTGAATAAATTCAGAATTATACATCACGTAAAGTCTATACTTGCATCCACTTCTAGTTGAATGGCGCACTACGTAATCTGAAAAGCCCTCTGCTACCAAGAAACCTCTAAACACAGCATAAAAACATTCTACGATCATAGGAAATCCTTAAAGTGGTAGAAGAACAGAGGAAAATGAAACCATAGAATGAATGTGAAGGCAGATGGGAATCTGGTAATGCCTAGTGGGTAAAAGCCCATATTGAGAGTTTTTGTCAAGAAACCAGAGACTAGGCTTTGGGCCCCTACAAAGTGAGAGAGCCAAAATGCAGATCTGATATAAAACAGGGATATTGCCTACCTGCAACGGAACTTATTAGGAAAACCTTCTCTGGCTCTGCTCCAAGTGGCAAAAAAATAAAGGAAGAAAACAAAGGCTCCTCTGAGAATGTGCGACCATGTATACCTACTGTTACAGTCCAGGGTATAAAGTTACAATTCAGGCAAAGAATTCTAAAACTCATCAAAGGCTGGCTATGCCTTTGGAACCTAACAGAAACAAACATAAATCCTCTCTGACAAAATCCTTAGTAGAGGACCCTCCAGATTACCTACCACAGGTTATACTCAGTCAAATGAACTCATAATAAAAAATAAAAAATAAAAAAACCACATCACATGAGACAAGCCCCCAGGAAAAAGAATCAGCAGAAATAATAAACAGATTTGTACCTCTAAAAGATGCTGACATTAAAGTTATCACATGCAAAATATAAATTAACTATGTTTGAAATGCTTATAGAATAAAAGTATTGGAGAAGAAGTAAAACTATATTTGCAGACGGCATGATCTTATCTATAGAAATTTCTAAGGAATCCACTAAAAAACTATTCACTAATAAGCATGCTCTAACAATATTGTAAGATACAAGATCAATATACAAAATTCACTTTCATTTCTATACATTGGCAAGGCACAATCTGAAAATTAAATTAAGAAAACAAACACCATTCCAAGTACAACAGTTTCAAAAAGAAAAATATTAGCAATAAACTTAACAAAAGAAGTGAAAACTTATACATTGAAAACTAAAAAAACATTGTTAAAAGAAACTATAAAAGATCTAAATAAATGGAAAGAGATCACATATCCATGGATTGGAACACCTACTATTGTTAAGATGACAATAGTTCCTAATTGATCTACTGATCTAACACAATCCTTATCAAAATCCTACCTAGCTTCTTTGCAGAAACTGACAAGCTGATCCTAAAATTCATATGGAAATTCATACAGAGATCCATAGTAGCCAAAACAATCTTGAAAAAGAAGAACAAAACTGGAGGACCCACATGTGTCAATTTCAAAACTTAATACAAACTACAGTAATCAAAACAGTGCAATATTGCCATAAAGATCAATGGAAAAGAATTGAGAATCCTGAAATAAATAAAAATTTTAACAAGGGTACCAAGAATACAATGGGAGAAAGAACAGGTTTTTCAACAAATTATATTGGAACATTGGATATCTACATGCAAAAGAAGAAGACTCCCATCTCAAAGCATACGTGAGTATTAACTCAAAATAGATCAAAGAATAAATGGAAGAGCTAAAACTATAAAATTATTTGAAGAAAACAAAGAAGTAAATCTTCATAACCATAGACTAGGCAGTGGTTCTTTAGATATGACACCAAAAGCACAAGCAACAACAACAAAATAGATAAACTGGACTTCATAAAAATTAAAAAGTTTTGTGCTTCAAAGAAAACCATCAAGAAAATGAAAAGTGAGCCCACAGAATGAGAGAAAGTATTTGCAGTCATATATCTCATAAGGGACTTGTATCTATTCTAGACTATATAAATAACTCTTACAACTCAATAATACAAAAATAACCCATTTAAAAAATGGGCAAAAGATCTGTATAGACATTTTTCCAAAGGAGATATACAAATGGCTGGTAAGCACACAAAAACATGCTCAATATCATTAGTCATCAGGGAAATATAAATCAAAACCATGATGAGACACCACTTTACACCCACCCGGATGGGCAAAAGACAATAACAAGTGTTGGTAAGGATGTGGAAAAATTGGAACCTTCATACACTGTATGTAAAATGGTACAGTCACTTTGGAAATACAGGTAAATACACTCCCAGTTTACCTCATACAGGTAAACGCAGAGTTACCATATGACCCAGCAATCCCTTTCTAGGAAGATATCCAAGAGAAATGAAAATGTATGTTCACAGAAAAACGTGCACACAAATGTTTAAAGCAGCATTATTTATAATAGTCAAACAGTATAAACAATCAAAATATCCATTACCTAATGGATGGATAAATAAAATGTGGCATCCATATAATGGAATATTTATTATTTGGCAACAAAGACATACTGACTAACACTACAAAACAGATGAACCTTGAACACATGCTAAGTGAAAGAAGCTGGTCATAAATGGTCACATTTTGTATGATTTTGTGTATAAGGAATGTCCAGAATAGGCAAAATTTATAGAGACAGAAAGTAGATCAGTGACTGTCCAGGGTTGGAGGGAATGGAGAGAATGGGGTCACAACTGCTAGGTTGTGAGGTATCCTGTTGGGGAAGCAAAAAAGCTCTAAAATTGACTGTGCTTATGGTTAGATTATACAATTTAAAAATATATACTAAAAACCATTATATTGTACATTTTAAATGGGTGAATTATATGGTATGTGAATTATATCTCAATAAAGTTTTGTTTTTTTTAAAATACAGTATTAGAAAAAATAAGCAACATTTAGGGTACTGCAGAAATTATCTGAGAGATCACAAAAAGAGGAGAAAAAAATCCTCCTAGAAATAAAAATTATAATTAGAGGATTAAATTTTAAAAAAAACTTAACAAGGGGGCTAAATAGCAAATTAGGTAGAGCTGTATAAGAAAATTACAAACTAGAAGAGGAACTAGATGAAATTTTCAGAATTCAGCCCAGAGGAAAAACAGAGATGAAATATTTAAAGAAAAAGGTAAGCGATAAAAGTATAAAATAAGAAGATCTAATAGTATGAGAACTACGAAACAGAATAAAGGAAGGAAATATTTGAAGAGATAATCACTACAAATTTTATAGAACTAACCAAAGATTATTAAGGCAGTAGAATAAATAAAAAGAAATCTAAGCCTAGAAAAACCACAGTGAAATTATAGAACACCAGTGAAGAAAATATCTTAAAAGCAACCAGAGAGAAATACATATAATTAACTGGGGAAAGATCATTAGAAAGATGGCCCAACAAATGTCTCAACAATAACAAAACCCAAAAGACAATGGAGTATTAACTTCCAAATGCTAAAAAAAAAAAAATCACTCTCAATGTAGAATTCTGTACTTAACAAAATTAACTTTCAAGAATAAGAGACTTCCATTTGTGGCCATGTTGGAATAATCTCAAATTAGAGTCCCATAAGAGATACACTCCAAAAAATCAATTCCAGGTGGATTAAAGACTTAAATGTGATATGCAAAACTTGAAACTTGGAGGACAGAATATAGAAGGACAGCTTTATGACCCTAGAGTAGGTAAGACTCTCTTACGACACAAAAACAATAACCACAAAGGATTTTCTTTATGGTAAAAGTCTACATTAATATTAAAAAATATTTTTAGATGTCTGCTCATTCACTCATCTAACAAACATTTATCACACAACCCAGCAATTTCACTCCTGGAAATCAACTCAGAAAAACGAAAACTTATGTTTACATAAAGACCTACACATGAATGTTCACAGCATTTGTGGTCATAGTATCCTGAAACTACAAACAGGTTAACTGTCCATTAACTGTGATAAGAAATTTGTGGTTTATCCATACAATGAAATACTATGCAGCAATAAAGAGGAATAAACTATAAAACATGCAACACGACAGATGTGTGTTAAAAGCTTTATGCTAAGTGAGAGGATAAAAAACGTAGAGATACAAAAGACTAAATTCCATTAAGTAAAATTCTAGAAAAGACAGAACTACAAGGGTGGAGAATCAGATGAGCGGTTGCCAGGGGCTAGAGGCAGAACATGACCACAGCAGGGCACCAAATATTTTCTATTTTCATTTTGTTGGTGGTTACATTATTGCATACATTGTCAAGTCTCTTAACTGTACACCTAAAAATAGTTAATATTACTATGTGTAAATTATACCTCGATAACCCTGACATTTTAAAAAATGGAATAAATCACAGGAAACCATACTGTACAGCAGGATAATATAGTAAGGCTTCAATTATAAGAGCTATGAACAATAAGTGAGCATCTAAATGCCAAAGTTGAAAGTGGCTTTTAATGTAACTGTACACTTCTTTTGGTTTAGAATTTAAATCACCATTTGTTCAGCAAAAACATACCAACGAAACCTCATGAGGTATCATTTACACCCATGAGATTGGCAAAATCTTCCAAGTCAGACAGTACCAAGCACTGGTGAGTATGTGGACAATGGAAGTGCTTGTGCACTGCTTGCAGTAAGGTAAAAGGATATGACCACTATAGGCGCAGCTTGGCACTACCTCGTAAAACGTCGTCAAGTGGAAGACAAGCATATTCTATGACACAGAAACTCAACTCCTACCAATACCTCCTAGAGCAACACTTGAATGTACACGGGGAGTTAAATGTTCACAGTTAAACTGTTTATAAAAGCAAAACAGAGACAATTCAAATGTCCACCAACAGGAGAACAAATGAAATAAAGTGTGGTACAAAGACATATTTTTATTAAACTCAGCATTGAAAATGGTTAAACTATAGTTTCACACATTAGAATGAATCTCAAAATCATGCTGGGTGAAAAAAAAGGATAAGAATATGTAGAATACATACAGTATGATATCATTTCTATACAGCCCCAAACATTAAATTTTTTAGTGAACTGTACTTATGCTGTAATACAATAACAGTGGTTGCCCTTGGGACAGAACAGAGAGATATAAGATGAAAGAGCAGCACAAGGCGCCTCAAAGGTACTGGAAACGTTCTAGATGGCAGATTCACAGGTGTTAAATAGTCTCTGTATATTTACACTGCATGAATTTATATGTTTGGAATACTTCATTTTTTAAAAGTACATACTTTTAGAAGACCCAATTCACTCAAACCACACTTTGCAAATACACAGCACCAAGAACTGAATAATGATAATACGCTATTTCCGCTTCAAAAAATATCTATCTATATATCATACTTCACTGTTTCATTCCTCCAGATTGATGCAAAATGTAAAAATTTACAATGTTTTTCACTTTTCAAAAAATAATTGATTTCATTATTTGAAATATGTGGAGTACTTATTTACAGCTATGTTCCTGGAGAACCAATAAGACTTTTTCCTGTATGGTGGGTGCTCATTTTACTCTCCTCTTTCAAGCAGCAGCATTGCAGAGAGACTCATGTGCGTACCAGACATCCTGGGCTGTTGAGAGGACTAAATGAGTTGATATGCAAATTGTGTTTTGTAACAGTGCTTGGCACTTAGTATTATATATGTGTTTGTTATTAAATAACCTGTACGTATGTGCATTTTACAATTTAAAATTGAGAACAAAAGAAAATGACATATGAAATTCTTCAGCTGAAACCAACAAATAGAATCAATACTATTCTCCACACACTGCTGAGCACTGATCAGTTCTATGCTGAGAGTCACACATGTTGGCTTAGCTACGGCAAACGATCTTTGTAGCTGGAGTCTTCTCTGTAATGAGCCTCAGGAAACTCCCACATTGGTTTTCTCTTCTTTTTGAAGAGCATTTTGGAAAGACTCCAAAGCAAGTCCTTATTTAATTTAATTAAAAATTGTGTAGAATCTTCTGTTATTTTTTTAGCAATAAGCACTTTCAAAAACACTAAAGAATGTGAAATGGCTTAGATTCATACTCTAATGCCTCCCATGAAAAAGCAGGAAGCTTTACAAAACATTTAGCAAAATAAAACTACTCTTAATGGAAAACTGATGTGATATTATTATTCAAAGATCATGATTATCTCAAGGGAACAACTACATAAAGACTCAGGCTCATCTTTAAAATCCTTTGTAAGTAGCATACATTATTTAAATTGAGAGCAATATTTCCAAATCATCCTTCCCCACCTTGAATATAAGAATGCTCATGAATTATTTCCTCCTCAAATCCTGGTTTATCATTAGTAAATATAGCATTATTCTAACTGTATAAAACAGAAGCATGTAAAATATTAACTCTGTGTGTATTTGAGTGCATGTAGTGGATTACATAAATGTTTGCATACCTACAGAAGAGTCTGGAATACACATAAATTGTCAACTAGGTCCATTTGGACAGTGGAGAATAAAGTGGGAACTTATATTAATAGTTTCACTTACACACTGTAGCATTATTTGAATTTTTAAACAAATACGCACTGATTTTTTTTTTTTTAGATTACTACCATTCTTTCTTTAAAACTATCTGTTATTGGTGAATCACAAAGGTAAAATATTCATTGTAAAGAATTAGATTAGCAAAGACAAAAATAAAAATCATCTATAAATCTACCAATGAGAGAAAACCATGGATAATACATGAGAGATCATTCTTACCTTTGTAGGGTGTCCCCACAGTTGTTGCATACACATTCTTTTCATATTTCTTCAATCGGTCTTCTAAATTGTGAATCTAAAAACAATAAATATTTAAATCATATAAAATTCATATGGAAACCATATGTAAAAGAAGGACTACTATAGCCACTAGATTTTTTAATGCTGAAGACAACATATAGGCAAATCAAATTAATACAAATGGTTTCTTACATATGATAACAAAAGCACAGAGAACAAAAGAAAAAATACGTAAATTGGACTTTAACACAAGTAAAACTTTTGTGCCTACATAAAGTGAAAAGACAACCTATAGAATGGGAGAAAATATTCGCAAGTCATATAACTGATACAAGACTTGTATCCAAAATATATAAAGAACATTTAAAACTCAACAACAAAAAACACATAACACAACTAAAAAATGAGCAAAGGACTTGAATGGACATTGCTCCAAAGATATACAAATGGCCAACAAGCAGATGACAAGATTCTCAACATTATTAGTCATTAGGAAACTGCAAAAAAAACCCATAATGAAATACCACTTTATACCAACTAGTATGGTTATAATAAAAAAACTTGTTGACGAAAATGTGAAGAAATTAGAATCTTTATGCTTTGTTGGTGGGAATGTAAAATGGTGCCACTATTTAAAACAGTTTGGTGGTGCCTCAAAAAGTTAAACATATAATTACTATATGATCTAGCAATTCAAATCCTAGGTATATATCCCAAAAAGTTGGAAACAGGTGTTCAAACGAAAATTGTACACAATGTTCCTAGTAACACTATTCACAATAGCCAAAATGTAGAAACAACCAAAAAATCCATCAACTGATGAATGGATAAAGAAAATGTGGTCTATCCATATAATGGAATATTATTCAGTCATAAAAAAGAATGCAGTACTGATACATGCTACAACATGGATGAACCATAAAAACATCTTGCTAAATGAAAGAAGCCAGATAAAAAAAGGCCAAGTATTATATGAGTCTATTTATATTAAATATTCAGAACAGGCAAATCCAGAGACACAGAAAGCAGATTAGCGGTTGCCAGTGGCTGGGGGAGGAGGTAAAGAGGAATGACTGCTCAGTGGATATGGGGTTTCCTTTTGGGGTGATGAAATGGTTTGGAACTAGGGAATGGTGATGGTTTCACAGCATTGTGAATGGACTAAATGTCAATGAATCATGTGCTTTAAAATTGTCAATTTTATTATATGTATTTTACCACTAGAAAAATAACTCATACAAAAATTGTTATGTGGGCCGGCCGAGTGGCTCAGTTGGTTAAGAGCTCACTCAAGAGTTTGAGCTCTGAGCAACAGCGGTTCGAGTCCCAGCCCGAGCTGAGCAGC